TCCGGCTTTTCCTTTCTAAGCAAAAATCTTTTCTAAATCTTCCTCTAAACAAGTCAGACATCAGCTCCTCTGGCACCTCCTAATGCCCAGCGGGGTTAGAAGCACCTGTTTCCTCCTCTGCCAGGAAGATGGCGCGAGAGGTCTCGGGGCAGGTAAAGCCCTCGCACGCTTTCGGATGTCCGCCGAGACCATGTGCACACCTCGCGCTGCGCACGCTTGTGTGTGTGTGTGAGACCCACACACAGGCCTGGGAGGGGAGGTGACCTCGCTCCGCTCCTCCAGGTGTCTCGGGTGTTCAGCAGCTCCAGGGAGGACGGGACACGTGTCCTCGTGCCTCTCCTGTCCCCACAGCTACCCATCCCCTGAGCCTTTCCTCTCGGATGATTCCCTTCGATCTTCTTCTGTCTCAGGCTGTATGTCCCATTCCTCCACACCTACAAACTGTGCCCGTCTCCAAGGGCGAACCTAGAATCTACTTATCTCAGTATTGTACTCACCTTGTTTTTAACCTTGAAACTCTAACTCCTGTCAAAGCAACTCAGAAACTCCGTGCTGTGAGTCACACGGTTCAACCACAAATGGTCACAATTTGAAGGGACTTTACCCTCGCGGTCCAGCCCCCACTCCTGACCCTTTGTGGCAATCAGAAGGGACCCAGGACACGGGCACTGAGGGTTTGTAAGAGGCCACACCGCTTGACGGTGCAAAGGTGGAAAGGAACCCAGGCCCGTGGCTCTTCACTGACTGGGATGCGAGGTGCACTGGCTCCATCCTGCAGCCTCAGGGCCACCGAGCTGCCACGCTCCCGCTGTGGGCTCCGCACAGCCCTTGCCTGATTCGCAGCCGTCAGTGACAGATGCCAGGGGGAAAAGCGAGGACCACACTGCCCGTTACTGAGGACGGCACTGACGGGGGTGTAGGTGGGAGGAGGAACCAGCACCTCCCTGCTCAGTTGCCAAAGCTTGGAAGGGCAGAAGCCACTTTGCACCGTTGCTTTCCCCCAGGTCTACCCGCGTAGAGCTACACACACAGCTCTCAGAAAGCCACGTGATAAATAAGAACCATCTGTTCTGAGTACAGCCATGGCTTATATTTAATAATATCAAAACTTATCAAAACAATACTTAGCATCCGATAGAAGGTTGGTGACTCCCAATGTCACCATGAACAGTAAGACGAGGGGACGCTGAGTCTCGAGTTGGATGAGGCCTGCAATGACTCCACTCTGAGCTGCCCTGGCTGGGTGGACCGTGCAGCCGGGTGGACCGTGCAGCCGGGTGGACCGTGCAGCCGGGTGGACCGTGCAGTCAGCCGGCCCCGGGCCAGGCGCTGTGAGGCCTGCAGCATCAACTGCTGCGTTCCTGGACTCACACTCGTCCTCTGTGCCTCGCTCGGATCCGCTGATTTTCCTGCACGAGTCTTAAGCCACCCGACAGCAGGGATTTTTCTTTTCTCCATCTCCTTTTCCGCACCCGGCTCCACACTCAGGTGGCACCAGCCTGTGCAGACCCCAGTGGTGCCCAATAAATGCCCCTGCCCAGCCGGCTCACGTCCAACCCTGCCTTCCTCTCAGTCCCCTCCTGCCTTTATCCCCACGACACTGAGCCCATCTGCACCCCCCTTGCGCCTGCTGGGTGTGTACCTCACGGGGAGGGAGCCCGGCCCACTGGGGGCTCACGGGGCGGCTGCCTTGGGTGGATGTCAGAGCCAGCACCACCTGGCAAACGGGAACCTGTGGGAGAAAGACGAGCACACTCACCAGGCAGAGGAGAAGGGATTCCAGAAGGAATGGGGTCAGTCTGCAGGGCCCCTCGTGCCATTTCCAATGCAGATCCTTCTCCATTCCTCACAGCCTTTCCCCCAGGTGGCTCCGGGATCTGAACCTGGCGTCAGAGGAACACGGCTGCTCTCATTAGCTCTCAATTTTTATGGGTTCATTCCCCAAAGAACAAGCTGAGTCACAGACTTTGCAAATCCAATCATTGCACAGGAGCACCGAGTAATATCGCACAAAGTCAACACTCCTCATTACATCTCCTCTGTTAATTTACCTTGGAACCAATTACTAATTCTCTCTCCCCTCGGGTCACACGTAGTCACCGTCACAGAAGCTGGAGAAAATGGCCTTAGCCACCAGGCGGTTCCCAGTCCACGCTGGCACCAGCTCTAGCCTCAGCTGATCTGATCTGGAAGAGGATTCCAGGGGCCCCCATGAATGCCTGGGGTGAGCACAGCATCCCCTCCAGAAAGGCAGGATCGCAGGGGGCACCTGGAGGGCCCCTGGGCAGAGGCAGGGTCCAGATTCCTTCCCTAGGAGCACAGCCTAAGTGGAATTTCCAGGCATAAAATGCAATTGTGCAATTGCTTCAAGAAATGTTTCCCCGGGTGTCAAGATCTGTTGGGTAAAGAGCTGCCTGGAGTTCACAGGGTCAGGAGCTCCTGGCAAGAGAGGGAAGCAGGGGGTGTTTGCGTCCACAGTCAGCGGGGGGCCTCAGAGAAGCCCATGCTCAGCGTGGGTGCTAAGAATGACTTTGGCCCCCTGCGTAGGTGAGTCTTGCACATAAACAGCAGGAGGCCTCAGGCTGGCTCATGCTGACCTCCCTCCAGCCAATCTGTAGCTTCCAGACGATGCACAAAGCTCAGACACTAATCAGTGCCTGAACCCACATGAGGTGTCCGCTGCTATCATATCTCGTTTAATCCTCACACAAGTCCTATGAGTGCAGAAAGTCATCCCTATTTTGTATTTTTAAAAGACGAAGTCCTAGAGGCACTTAATAACTTACTCAAGGTCACACAATGCCGGGATGCAAATTCAGATTTCTCTAAATCTAAGAGCCAGGCAGGTGTTTGCTCTCATACCTCTGCCATGCGTGATTCCTCCTTCGTTAAAGAAAAAGGATAATTTATATTACTATTTTCATTTCCATATCTCAGGGACATTTCCTAAGACATTTTTAAAAATGGGGGCATCCAGAACTCAAAATAATTCCAGTCTATTATAAAATTCTGGACCTATAAAAAATTATGCCAGCTGTCTGCCAAGATTGGCAAATGAGTGAAGGTTTTAGAGAAAAGGAAGGAGAAAGAGAATCCAGCCAATGACACCTGCCTGTCCGAGGAAATGTGTGCCTGGATAAAAATATATCAAATCAGAACGGAGGAACGAGAATGCACACGTGCTAGGAAGGGCAGTGGTATTTTACGTGTGCTGGGTGCGAATGAGGGAAGGGATTACCAGTAACTCCCTTTCCGCCACCGTAGCCCCACAGTTCCCCAGGAATTGTGACCTCATCCTTCGCCTCAAAGGCCATTTCTAGTGTGTAAAACCCCATCATTTGGATTCTGTCTGAAGACTAACTTCAGTCACCCCTTTGAATCTGTAAGTCGTATATACAGTGATGTTAATTAAAGGTTGGTTCTGGTGGTTGCAGGAGTCAGCGGTGCAGTCACGGATAGATTACATACAGTCGATGCACATTAGAGTATATCATAGAAATCAAAGTCCTGTGCACGAACAGCCGTGTAGATGGACTCCTCCTCTCACTCGCTGAGACCCTCAGCCCAGCAGGCCCAGGCTTCTTTTCAGGGGCACCGACAGCTCATGGCCTGGCCCACGGAACGGACTCTGTGACCTCCATGGCACGAGGTGCCAACCTCAGACCACTTTCCAGGTCAGGGAGGAAGGTTAGGAAAGTGCCCCTGGAACTCCTGAGCGGAGACTGGGTTTCTCTCCCGGGCTCCTCTGCACTCAAGGCTCTGCTCACCGAGGCTTTGTGTGCCCGGAGGGATGGGGGCACAGGTCACCCCACTTTACCTTCCTCTGCTCCTCTCCTGCCGCCCCTGAGCTCAGGCACCTTTCCTGCACGAGCTTCTGCACTCAGAGCCCACCCCAGCCACCACAGGCCACTGTGATCTGAATCCCTTTCCCTCCTAAACAGACAGGCTGGTCCAGGCCGTTCCACCTGCTCTCTGTGCTCCCTCATCACAGTGAGAATTACTCCAGGCGTTGATAAAGGAGTCGTGTGGCAGCACCTCAGGCTGGGGAGAGAAGCTTCCAGCGGCCCTGAGTCCCATTCCACGCCCAGGCCCCAGCCCCTGGAAGCCCCAGGTTTTCCTCTGGCTTCCCACGAGGACAATGAGCAAAGGGAAAGTAAACGATAAACCTAAACCAAACAGCTGTGAAATAACCCTCCAGCGTCACCTTCTTTGTCCTACGTAGTCCCAGCTACTCGGAGGCTGAGGCAGGAGAATGGCGTGAACCTGGGAGGCGGAGCTTGCAGTGAGCCGAGATCGCGCCACTGCACTCCAGCCTGGGCGACACAGCGCCAGACTCCGTCTCAAAAAAAAAAAAAAAAAAAAAAAAAAAGACAAACCTTCGACCAATCACACTTCAGCTGCCCTGCGACAAACAAGCCACTCTCACGCAATGCGTGCTAACGTCTCATTAACAAAAGTCAAATGCATCCAAAGCATTGAAATTAAGACATTAGGTCCAATTATCTTGTCAGCGCTAGTTGGGGGAAGTTGTCAAGGGTTTATTTATTCATTAGCTTCCAGAGAACTTGTGGGCTCCCTAATTATGCACTGCTAAATTTTTTTACTCCCTCCTCCCCTGGTCCATTAAAAAAATCACTTGAGGTTTCATTTCTCCGCAGTGCAGCAGCCTGCAAGGGCAGCCGAGGTGGGCCCAGCGAGGCCTGGAAGGGCCGTCTCGTCTCTGGCCGCTGTAACTTCAGCCCCCAGCTCGGCCTGGCTGAGCAGCAGTTAGGAAGGCCTGGGGAACCCCGGGTGGTGTTGGCCACAGATCCCAGTGGACACCCAGGGAGGGCTCTTGACCACCCAGCACGCTCTGACTGTTCACCGCCTGTGCTGCTGCCGTGGGGCTGGGTCCGGCTGCATCTCAGGAACCTGTTCCTCTCCCCTGGGAGGCAGCTGTGCCCGCCGCAGATCTCAGGAACCCACTCCTCTCCCCTGGGAGGCAGCTGTGCCCGCCGCAGATCTCAGGAACCCACTCCTCTCCCCTGGGAGGCAGCTGTGCCTGCCGCAGATCTCAGGCTGGCCTGCTGGTCCATAGCAGGCATTTGAGGAATGCTTGTGAGGTGGTGAGTGAGAAGCATTTTCCTGCAGATGGGGGGATCCATGGGGCCCCCACAGTGCCCAGGTGGGTGGGCTTGGGCTCGGGGTGGTGGGCGGAGGTTTCTCTGGAGCGCTCTTTCCTCTGGAAGTCCCGCCCTTCCCTCTCGTGGACCCCGTGTGCCCAGCTCCCTGGTCTCTGCTTTCTCTCCTCTCTCTCCTCTTGGGTCTCTGTGCTGTCCACGCTCAGCTTCCCCCATCCCCTCTGGCTTCAAGGGAAACCTGAGCACCGCTGGATACTCGAGGTGCCCACAGCTCACGGCCAGGCATGACCCAGGCCCTGCACAACCAGCACCCCCTAAAAGCACAGCAGCCCGCTGGTCCCCTAGAGCGCTGCAGGTCACACGGGGTGGTGGAGGGAGCCCTGGGTCCTAGGAGACGTGGGTTCCGGTTCTGTCACTACTGACACCTTCATCGCTCTGACTCTCCGTTTCTCTGTACAGTGGGTCAAGGAGCTGCTGCAGCTGCTTCCCCCGCTGGTCACGATGGAGCTCGGATGAGCCCACGCCCTGGAAAGCCGATGCTCACGGTGAGCTTCTCGGGAGACACCTGGACACCGGGAACTGCTGAGACACAAGCCATGGACAAGCACCTTCTTCACGGCAGAGACCAGCCCCGAACACAGGCACAGTGGCCTCGGGTCTTCCTTTCCTTTGGAATTGAGAGAAAACTCAAGGGCTGCCGCAGCAGTGAGCCCCGGGTTTTCCTAGCACGTCTCCTTACTCCAGGCCAAATCATTCATATTAAATTACTGTAGATGTCCCGTGTTTGTATTATTTGTGCTAAACTCCTGGAGGGTCTCGCCCACTTCCTCATTCACGAACATACATCTTTGGAACACAAAGTTACCAGTTCACTCAGCAAGAACACGAAGGTAAATGCGAATTCAGTGACTCACAGAAACTGGCAGCTGGGCTTCCCTCTGGAACTGCCGTGACCCTCCCTTAGGAGCCTAAGGCCCCGTGGGCAGCTGCAGGGAAGGGGGTCCCTCCACAGTGTCTGCCTCTGCTGCGGTTCCAGCGTCCAACCTTGCAAACACCCGGAATTCTCATCTGTCCCTCTTTCCGTCCAGGGTCACTGGACACCTCTGTGGCCCCGTGCTCCTGCTAGAGAGGAGACTTGGCCATCGTCCTCTCATGCTGCGATCGATTCAATCTCTCTCGTTGTGTTTTATTTTCTCCCAGAGTCACACTTTGCCCCTCTGGGAGCTCCCCCCAGCCTGGCCCCTCGCTGTGTCTGAGGTCCACTGCTGTGCCCACCTGAATCCTTCCCCGAGGCCCCCGGGTCTTCCTGGCCACCCAATGGTCACTGCTGCTCTCAGGGGTGTACGCCCTGCGGCTGGTCTCAGCTCTGAGGAGAGGGCCCAGCCAGCCGACACCTGCACTGGAGCCGAACAGGATTTCAGCTGAGAGCACGGGGTCAGGCCTCTCGACAGGAGCAGGTCCCTCGTTCCTGGTTCTCTCACTGTTCTTAGTGTCACCTTACATGGAAAATGTAAAGAACCCGGGCCAGACCATTTCCCAACGGAGGAAACACGCCTTGCATTGTGTTTCCGTGTCTGTCCATCTTGTTAGAACGGGAGCTTCCCGAGGGCAGGGACTGTCTCATTTTTCCCTGAGTCCATAGCATAGATCTGGTCACAGACATTGTTTAAAAAATATTCAATGAATAACAGGAAAGAAGAAACGAAGGAAGGAGGAAAGGAAGAAGGAGGAAGGAAGGAAGAAAAGGAGGGAGGATGAGAGAAAGGAAGAAAGGGAGCGAGGAGGAAAGAAGGAAGAAGGAAGGGAGGGGGAAGGAAGGAGGGAGGACGACAGGTGATGGATCAAACCGTTATCTTCGAGGACAGCTGAGGGTCCTGGTCACGCAAAGTCACGCTACCCTCTGGGTCCCAGCACGTTCTAGAACGGGGGAGCAGGCAGGGCAATGCGTGGGTTCTCTGTCCACTCCCCCAGCCCACCACAGAATCGGCCGTTTCTTCTGCTCCGCTGTGTCTTGTCTCCATAGCTACAGCAACTCTATTACTAGATTGCAATTTCTCTACTGTCGCACCTGCCCCTACTAGAGCGTGAGCTTGGCAAGGGAAGACCCGCATCCCTCCCCCTCGGGATCTCCAGCCCCACGTCAGGCCTGGCACCTGGTAAGTCCTGGAGGACGAGCGTCCTCGCTGGTGGTCCTTGGGGGAGATACACACTGAAAGCTCAACCCCGATCTGATCCAACCGTGGAATGGCACTGCAGAGCCGTTCCAGAACCAGACAAAGCTGTTTCTTTCTTCCTCTCAAAGCCAGGAATAAGTGCAGGAACCCCTTTTGGATCAAGACTATCCGCGTAATGCACAAGGAGCCTGGAAGCCCCTCAGACC